AATCCCAAATATTACTGTCCAGCTGCACTCCAATTTGCCCTTACACGTGGCAGTAATAAATAGTGGGGGTTGTAAACTTTGCCTTACACCAAATATTAATTGTCTTCGACTGATTATGTTTAAATAGCCCACAAAAACCATAGAAGTGCACGCGAAGATTCAACGCCGTGCTAGACTGAAATTCCACATTACTTAATGAAATTTACCTATTTGCCAAACGTATATTACGAGGGTTGTCCTTTATACACTTTGTAGAACATCAATCTGTATTTTCGACTGGCTGTGTTAATATCATCAGCAAACAACCATAAAACTACACGCAAAAATTCAACCCCTGTGAAACCATATATTTTTGTAATGTATTTTGTCCTTTTATATGGCAATTATAAATTGCGAGGATTGTAAACGTTGCAATGCTTTGCAAAAATCTTTAACTGATTATGTTTAAATAGTCGACAGTTTTTTGAGAGATGACTTGGCTCGATAGAGGGGGGAGAGTGGGACTTTCGTCCATTAAAATCCTTCCCCTGTTAACCAAAGGTTCCATCTTCAACCTAGAACCGCGTGAGCATTACTTCAGGATGAGTGGTGTTAGCCATAGTAATTACTTATGCACACTCTCCCTGGTTACTTTCCGCCCCTACTCGCGTATACCGTACACCAAGGTGACGACATTACTTACTCTGTTCCATTTCTCCTCCTCGCTGCACATCTCCCTGATAATATTCTGTGGCGTTAAACCGACCCCCATTGTCGCGTTGTTCTCTCTCTCGTGGCTCCCCCTCATGCATTGGAAGAAGAGATGCTCCTTGTCGTCTCTTATTCGACAGTCGAGGTAGAGGTTATCTCCTCTTTGCTCTATCTTGTGCATGCAACTACCCAGCTCACTGTGGCGAATGAGGAGCTGGGTAAGCAGGTAGTTTACCTCCCCATGCTTGCGCCCCTCCCACTCCCGCACGCTCATAATCAGGTTGTGCATCCAAGAATTTTTTCTGGATCTTAGATTGATTATGTTTAAATAGTCGACAAACAGCCATAAAACGGCACGCGAAAATTCCACCCCTGCCCAATTTGAAATCACACATTTACCTTTTCGTGGAGTACATCAAATATTTCTGTATTCTTTGGATTTCTTATATCAAATCCATCAAACAACCCTAAAACAGCCACCAACAAAAATTGCACTAAAGATATATTTCAAAAATCCAAGTGTTGGCGTTAAACTGGCATCCAAACCAATAATTATCGAGCAACCAAGCAAACACTACCAAACAATTGAACATTGAGCTGAAGATATTTCAAAAATGCAAGGTTGAGTTCATTTATGCAGTTTAAACTGGTGTAGTCCACCTTCTTCATGGAGCTTGCTTGTACTTGAATGACCTTATAGCTTGCAATTTCGTCCCTAACACTCAGCATCAGCACATACTGCCAACTTACTTTTTTCCAAATTTTGTAGCGAAGGGCGAAGCTAAAGTCATTGACGAAAGTGTAAATAACTTCGGACAAGGTTTGGTTTAAAAATAATGTAATTAACACAGTTTATCGCAGCGTTTTACTTCGAAAACGTAGGAAATGTGAATAATGCATAATAAAACTGTTTGTGAATCATTTTTATTTACTCTACTTTGTAATAATCTAAAAGTTGCTGCAAGTGCACGCGGTGATGAGTTTATTTGCAGAAATGTTATCCTATACTGTAGGTAGTTTTCATATAAAAGGTCACAAACAAACATGTCCGTTACAATCACACGTACCTAGAGAAATATGCTGTGTTATCAGAAACGTGATATTATTTAAAAATGATTAATTACTTTTCCCGTAATTTAAATCACAGGTATTAATATAAGGGAAGTCGGATCCAATTTTGAAAGCCGTTGAACCGTGGCTCTTCTTATCTGCAGATCACGTGTAAGATCTTTATATGGAATCCGTCGAATTTCGTTGCATACCAAAACCAAAACTAAGATGGAGCAACATTCGATCAATACTTCCTTTACTCTAGCCATGTAATGATCAGAATTGGATACTATATGCAGAACTGTTTATCCTATCGGAATGGTAAGGTGTAGAGATACTGAGATACGTTCTCACGTATGCGGGTGCTGAAAAAGGATAGACTTCAAAGAGAGGCTGTTTGCACACACAAACAAATATTTATTATTTCATCATTAGAGTACATATTAAATTAAGTTAAGAGAAATAGGTAACGATTATATTTATAACACACAAATCAGCAAAACTGATTTTATTATTTTAAATACAAGAGAATAATTTTTCACACTTGTCAGATACGAGCAGGCATGGATTAGCTGATGTTTGGTCCTAGACTATGAGGGTGATGTACCCCCCCCCCACTACTCTCGTTTGTGTATGCAAAATACTGGTGAAATGCAGGAGAATAATTCTATACGAATTGACAGTCATATATCCATATCCATACTGTTGGCTGTCCATTACTATTTTGGAGGCTTAAACAGCGTTTAAGAGACACGGGTCATTGCATCCAACTACAAACCGTGGCCAATGGATGAGGCTGGAAACCAAAAGCTGGTAACTTCTCTATTTTAAAAACATAGAAATGGTTAAGGTGGAAGTTATGTAGAAATCAGTGGCGTAGAAATAATTTTGATGTCTGCTACAGTTTTTGAGGATTAACACGCAAATTGGAACTCTGTTTTGTGAATGTTGACCAGTTTTCATGGTACACCTGATCTATTATAATTAAAATTGTAAAAACAAACTGATCAGTCCCTATCTCGTTGAAAACAGCGAAAAATACTCTATTTAACAAGGGTGATAACAATATAGCTTCCATTAAAAAAATTAAAACTTTGCGGCATTTCTCATAAACTGCAGTGATTTGGAAAATTATTTCTACGCTACTAATTTGTATGAAAAACTTTTTTGTTTTGCAATTCTGTTATATAGGGTGGTGCCTTGCGCGACGCAGCATAGGGAATTCAATGGTAATTTCTTTATAGTCTCTAGCTAGTCTACTAGCTCCCATAATTATTTTAGAGTAAAAGTGTACGTTTTTTTAGAGAAAAAAATACTGCATCCGTTCATACTATTAGTTTTTCAAAACCGTAGAAAGTATTAAAGTGAGTTGACCAGCTATACACCTAGGTGGTCACCTTTCAACAAATCATACTCTACAGCTACACCAAATACTTGAAGGCTGAAGCAGCACCCGTCGAATAATAAACGTGGTGGTCACCTCCATTCTTATTTCATATTCACACATTTGAGCTCATCGACCTCGAAAACCATGAAGACGGCTCACTGTGCACTACTTAGAGTAAAGTTGAAATGTTAAAAAGGGATGCGCCCAGCCGAATATTTTTGTGACGAAAACAGCGCACTGTAGCACAATTTGGCACAACTCTAACTGAACACACTTCCAACACGATGACGATTCTAATTTCCCAATCCAACATAATGCAAACACATTAATCTGTTCAAAATTTCATTGCACACTTTTTAATAATGTTCTATTTATAAATATCATTAACCTATAAAGAAAGAAAGACAATATTTCAAAATGTAAACATTAATTTAGTCCAAAAAGTGTGGTTAAACCGTTTTTACTTTAATAAATAATTAAGTAACAACTATGTTTGGTAAATACTTTTTTAGTACTTCCTATAGTAAATTCAAGATAAGATACCAAGACCGAGTTACAGAACCGTATTGGACAATGAACTAAGTTTAGGAAAGTAGATAACTAAAAGTGAGTCTTTTCGAGAAATCGCATGTAGATTATTCTATAGGCATCGAAAATGCGCTATTATTTTGCAAATGGCGAGTAAAGTACAAATGAGAAAAGGTACCTGTCTTCAAATTTAATTACATGTAAATGTAAAGCAAGACTTTATTCGAAACACGCAATCAATTGCAGGGAATGGTACACATGAGTTGAAGTGTCTGTTGATATAAAGTGATATGTCTTCAGTCCGCTGGGATTACGGAAGAGCCCACTCTTGTCGCACCACATGAATGAGTTCATCAGCTTATAGGAGTTAGTTTGTCAACTTTTGATTTACACCTTTTCAACGTCGATTTGGTATTCTGCCTGCGATCATATTTTGTCAATAAAACCTATCGTTGCATGGCACTCTTTCGAGATGCAAAAATCGCCGGGAACCTAATTTGTGCCACCTACTTACACGAATGTGACTTGAAATAAGAAATAATATCTCGACGAGAGTTCGAAAAAAGACGCGCTATAGAAAGATGCGGTTTGTAGAAAGGAGAAAAACTTATATTAGGGGGAACGGTAAAATACGCTAGGGTTGGCACTTCTTTTGATTCCCCATACCATTTTAACTTGACTACTTTATATACTACCTTTTCCGCGGTGGGTGTCTTTTTCTGCCCCAGTTATTAGTGCTTTTCTGTTTCTTATTGACTCTGAGATCCGTTCGCAGGAATGCTAAGACTTCTTTGGTCGGACTTCGGATATTTCGAGCCATTAGCGAATCGTACATTCAAATAATCGTGTGTAGGTATTTAGGACTATTGCCGAACGCCTATTTCCCTTATTTGAACTTCATCCCAATGTCAAATGGTAAATGCCGACTTGTTATATTCCAAGGTGTCTCTTTTTATTGGAAAGCTTTCGCAGACTGTTATACAGTCGACTGCACTCGCATCGGTATCAAGGGTCTCGTAATGCAGGCTTTTCACAGATACACCCTTATAATAAGTTTGCACCTTTGTGGTGCGAGGGGCGCTGAAATCGTGAACAGTTAATATGAATACTGATTTCTTCGTCCCCGAGGATCAAGCTATCGATGGAAATTTTAAGTTTCAGCCTTCTTCCCAACTGAATGTCAAGTCATTCGAAATAATTTGACGTGTTTTTTTATTCAATTTTCTAGCGTACGTTAATCAAATTTCTATTTAATCCGTCCCTGTAAAATCTCCATTCGAGGCAGGTGTAGTTGGTTTACTTTTGCATTTCTCTAAACTCTAAATATAACTGAGTAAACAACATCTCTCATACTGGCGAGGCGGGTAGACATGTAAACAGTAAACAACATTATGTGCCTCACGAACGAATGCTTACAGTTACTACTACATTCAGTGTGTTAGCTGTTCTTGGTTCGCGTCGAATCGCGCCTGTTAACTAATTTTAAATTTATTTATTTGTTTAATTAATTTTACGCTCGCCGCTCATCTTCGATCGATATTAATTATTACTTTAAACTATTAGTGCTACGGTTAATTGACCGAGTACAATTCCGTTCGCAAAAGTTTCCGCGCAGTGCTGAAATAATGTGTACCTACTGAAAGCCTGAAACAATTTCTTTAGTGCGTACACCTATATTAAACTACACGAAGAATGGAAATCAGGATATGGTAACTAATTATTGGAAAGGAATTATAGCTATCGTCAATCCGAGATCTCTTCAATCTGCCCAGGCCCCTAAAGTAAATAAACTTGCATCTGGCGTTAGCTACCGCTCGTAGTATAAGCTACACTTTAGATTAGAGGCACATTTGTTTTAGATTGTTTCGGAGTTAACCTTAATATCTCTTTCCCAGACTTTCCCGCTAATAAATACTGACAAATGATATAATAACCCTCCTTTCTACCAATTTTCAACTCCTCGACTACCCTTAAAAAACAACTTTAGCAGCATACACGTGCTATAGATTTAACTTTCCTTTTTCCTCTGTTATTTCGAGCGGGAAAACTTAGTTCGAATCACTATTTTTAAATCTGCCGCCAACTTAATCGCGTTCGTTTCTTCGCCGGTACGTCGTTTAGATCGATTTTCGAAAACTTTCAGAAATGAATTCGGAAATGAGGCTCGATCGTATCCGGATTTGAGAAAACCTAACATTGCCCCACACGAATTTAGTTGCAGCGAAAAGGAGTGCAGTGCAAGAATCTAACCCTTTTTCCCCATTGCGAGTAATTATTGTTGTATGCGAGGGTGAATACGCTATTCGAATCTTGACTGGGGATATTCTTATTACCTAGGAGGATTACTCGTATTTACTACTTCAGTCTAGGCTTTCTGCTCCGAATTTTGTAAATACGAATACAGTTGCTTGAAACTTGACAGTAGCGCAAAGATAAAAAAAACTACCATCTATCCCCATTTCGTTTTTGGAAATTTTTATGTTAAAAATAAGCGCATGAATCGAGGAAGAATTTGAAGAAAAAAATGTTTCGTCGAAATTTCAATATTTATGTAGTTATTCGTGTCCGAAAGTATCTTATTTTTCATTGAAAAAAAAACGGTTTTCCGTGAATATAAAAATATAATATCATATATAAAAAACCATTTAAAACAAAAAAAACAAACAAACAAATATTGGTTTTCGTTCATCGAATGCAAAAATCGAAACATTTAACGTTAAATAATGGGAACTAACAAAAATAAAGTCGGTGCCTATTTTTTTGTGACGAAAATGTTCCTGCCATAACCACTCCACTTGATACTAAAAGTTACCCATTTACAATCTATATATTATGTACTAGTATAGTAATCGGGTGCGGTAAATTCTCCCCCGGAATATTCGCACGCAGGAACATTCGCCCCTTGGAATATTCGCCTGGAAAGATTCGACCCCGGAAGGTTTCCCCGGGAAATTTTGGTGACGCTATTAAATATATCCGAGTCGAGTTTCCTCAGGGCTCAGGGGCAGGCCGAAAACAAATTTCCGTGAGCGCATCTCTAGGGGCGAATTTTCCATGACCGGGATTCGCTGGCGGCGAATATTCTGGGAGGTAACCTTCAAGGCTGAATTTACCGGGTCGAGTTTTTCAACTCGAGTAGTACGAACATGTATCTCGGGGAGAATTTTCCATATAGTCCGAAAGGCAGTTATCTCTACTGATGAAGTTTCTCTGGGTGATATTCTTAAGGGTAAACTCTACTCTAGCCTGGAGACAGAGCCGTTATGAAAACGTGAGATTTAGATAGGCGATAGGCGATATTCTTTTATGTACACATAAATAGTGTTTCCTGCGAACAAAATCAAACAAGGAAACAAAAATATTCGATGTTTATTGAAAAATGAGAGCTCTCACAATAGACGAATCATTATGAAAAAGTGATTTTTTTTTCAATTTAGATACAGAGATGGGATATAGGACTTTTATGTGCATTTGAAAGTCGATTTCTAGACCCTGTACACAAAATCAAACAAAGAAACAAGTATAGATTCTGAACAACTTTTATGCAGATAAAGCGCATTTTTTAAAAATAAAATAGCTTAGTAAATTATTGCGTTATAAGGTAGCGGTGCTTACGTTCTTGGTAGATAATTAATGGGGAGGAAGCTACATATTCTGTATTTACAATTTTAAAGGCCGCCCGATACACATTCAAGATAGTGCAGCCCCAGTCGATAGATAGTTATTTAATTTTAAAAATATTTAATTAATTATTTTATATATAGTAACTAGTATAAGGACGTTTAGTAAGTTTAGGTTTCCGCACGTTGCAATCCTTTTAACGAATACGATTATGTTAAGATTGAAGGGTGTTTGAGAGGTGCCAAATGAGTAAATACAAACTACTGTTGTCTGGCATTTTTTGGGTGTGCATAGAGCTTCATAAAAAACCAAGGCGTTTCAAATTTTACTGCTGTTACTAGAGCTGATTTTGGAACATTCCGAAGTAAAAGGTCCCACACATATTGTACTTGCTTATTACCTATACACTGTAATATCACTAAAATAATGTTACTTGTTTGTTACAAAATTTTTTTTAGATCAAAATGTTTTGCCACTGTGTCGCGACCGATTGGCACTGCGCCTTACATCTTAAATTCATAGTGAGGATACGGCCCTTGAAAAAATATCTCGTTCTCGAGTAGAAACACAATCGCGAGTTGCAGTGGAAACGCAGTGTTAAAAACTCTTGATTAATTAAAAATTGTTTTACAAAACAGTAATAAAATTATGATTTCAAATTGAACTTTTGATATTACAGTGAAGAGAGTAGGACAAGTACAATGTTTATGACACTTATGTTCCTCTAGCAGCAACAAAAATTGAATTTTGGAAATAAAATTGCGCATACGCCTTAAGAAATGTTTACTTTGCAATATACTGAAATTTAATACGATTTACGGTCGTGTAGGGGTTGGGGTGGGGTACATATCACAGGCCAGGAGGGTGCACCAAGGATCGCGCGAGAGACCAAGTCGCAAAATTACTTCGAAATGGAAGGAAACGTCGATTTTGTAGATAGATTTTGTCGTGTTTTTAGCGTATTTTTAATAAATGCTTCAAATTCATTCATTTGAGGTTTTGACTCGGGTTTTGAGATATCGGCCTTGTGCAAACGTATAACTGGTGGGCTTTAAGTATTGAATAGACCTCGGAGCAGAATATTTGTAGCGTGAGCGGAAAAAAATAAATTTTCAAAGGGAGCTAGCATTTCAACATTTTTATTTTGGAAAAACTTTAATTGCATTTAAAAACTTGGCTTGCGCATGCTTTTTCCAGTAGACTTTTCCACTTGTTTTAACTTCTATAAGGCTTTGCAACTGCAAGGAACGAAATCCATAAAAGTTGAAATTGAAAAAAATACAAGCAAATTAGAAATTTATTTAAAAAAATTCAAACAGCGACAATAATAAACATAGTGGTTTAAAATGTGTTTTGTATCCCAGCATTTATCCGATAAGTGTTTCCATATTCCCATTCCCATTGTTATAAGCATCAGGCACTGTAAAGCAATTATGGGCATTACTTGACATTACAAGTTAGTGGATTTGTTGTGCAATTACACTGAATACCGTTGTAATTACCAGTATTACATTGGCATTACTTGACATTATTTGGAATTATATCTAGCTCTTTCCCCTCGCGTCGATGGAACTAACGGCTTTACCAAGTACGCTCGGATCGAGGCTTCTTTCGAATTTTCCCTCGAATTTTCCCTAAGTTTGGGTTTGTTTTTGCTAAGCCGAAGAGCTCACAGATTTGAATTCTGCGAGATCAGAATCATTTCCACCTTCGTTTAGGAACGGTAAAAATTTCAGGAACCTTTTTACTAGGTGCGTGGAACCATTTTGATACTTTGGTCATAGGAATGGTAGTTACACCTTTTCCTCTTCTTAATTCTCCTTAAATCCACGTTCGCGTACGAGCTCGCATACTTTGGGAATAACGTTGTAGATACCTATGTCTGAAAAGCATTGTATTTAATCAAGGAAAACCGTTCCGTGGCTCCGTTAATTTAGCACCACCATTTCAAATTTTTGACTAAAGACAGATTGCGCTAGAATCTCTATGGCTAGCGCCAGCTAGCGCCACTTTGAGTTCAGCTAGCGCCATTATAGATTTTGCAGAAAAGCCCTTGATTTTCGGGGGGTGCTATGTTAACGCTAGCACCACCATTGCGTCCGATCATTTCCAAAAGCAAGCGCTGTGTTCGTCAGACCTAGCGCCAGCTAGCGCCACAAATTTTAGAGCTAGCGCCACCCCCCAATAGTGAGGGGAGCAATTTTTCCTAGCACCACCATTTTGTCTTTTCATGTAAAATTTTGATGTTTTGTGTTCTGCTGACCTAGCGCCAGCTAGCGCCACTTTGAGTTCAGCTAGCGCCATTATAGATTTTACAAAAAAGCCTTTGACTTTCGGGGGGTGCTATATTAACGCTAGCACCACCATTGCGTCCGATCATTTCCAAAAGCAAGCGCTGTGTTCGTCAGACCTAGCGCCAGCTAGCGCCACAAATTTTAGAGCTAGCGCCACCCCCCAATAGTGCGGGGGGCATTTTTTCCTAGCACCACCATTTTGTTTTTTCGGGTAAAATTTTGACGTTTTGTGTTCTGCTGACCTAGCGCCAGCTAGCGCCACAAATTTTAGAGCTGCCATCACCCTCCAATAGTGTGGGGGGAGGGGGCACCACCATTTTGTCTTTTCGGGTAAAAATTTGATGTTTTCTGTTCTTGTAGACCTAGCGCTCAAGTTAACCTAGCGCAATTATAAATCCTAGCGAGTTTATAATTTTGCGGTGTCTGTCCGTCTGTCCGTTAGCACGATATCTTGATAACGATAACGAATTGACCGTTTACGATGAAATTCTGTAGATGGATTCTTTATCAAATTTGTAGATCGGAGTTCGTGAATTGGCAATGTAGACCAAAAAATAAATAGGCACTTTTGACATCTCTGTGAGTTATGAACCGAATTGTATGAAATTCAATATGTGTATAGCTTTAGCCATATAAAACGCAATTCCAAAAGTTGAGCCTAATCGATCAACATTCACAGTGCTCTTTTCGCATCTCGACCATTTACAAACCGGATTGAAAACTTTCTTATTTATGGAAGCATTTAAAAGAAATTTGATACATAGCCACTTGGAATAAAAGCAAATTTAACGCCAGTTTCAAAATTTGGTTTTGTGCATGATGTGTGGTGCCAATTTTCTTATTTATGGAAGCAATTAAATGAAATT